CTCTTCTGGTAGACAGGCCATAGTGCTTGGCTAACACCACTCCCATGGCAGTAGAGACTGCTTACATCCTCTTTTGGGAGCTTCTGCTTGGAAAGATTGTTCGCTTAGTTGCAAATGCAGCCAAGAAGTAGAGACAGAAAACTGGTAGAAGGTGTTGGCAGGGGAGAGGTGCAAGGGGCACCTGCAGAGTAAGTGAAATTTTTCAGCAGGCTATTGGCAAAACCTCAGACTTGGAAGGTGGACTCCATGAGGGAGACGCTTAAAAAAGTGGCTTCAAAAAGACCCTGCTCCACAGAAGGTTTTCTGCGTTACAGTCTTAGAGTAGTGAAAGTGCAGCCTAAGATGCTACCCTGCTATGGCGTCTGAGATAGTGATCTTATGACATACCACTGTTCATTCAACAGAGATGCTTAGACCACCTTTGTCTGCCCTTGTAAGGCGGTTCCTGTAAACATACACTCTCTTGTCCACGGTGTCCAAGTCCAGGATGTGGGCCAATGGCAACACAGTCACTGTTCTTCTGTTGAGCGTAAAATATGCATGATAACTTAATTCCACCTCTCAAGACTAAATGAAGTGAAAACAGTTCTTGCAGTAAGTGAGGAGCATCCCTGGATACAGCTTCCCAAGGATCTGCTTACCACCTTTCCAGAATCCATGATGCCAAACTCCAGAACAGGCACAAGTGGAGCTGCAGAGGGGCTCCAAAGCCAAGATGCTCACTGGAAACAAGCAATAATAAACTTCCCAAATGTTCCCACAAAAATAATAATCTACGTCAGTTCAAATTCTTGCTTCTCTTACGTTCTCCAGAAGGAACTGTCTTCAGAAGTACCCATCTCATTTTTCAGCCAGGAGAACAGGCTGTTGAACGGACAGGGAAGCAGTCATAAGCACCTACAAGATGAAGGTCAAAACCTCTGGACAGAAAATGTCAGCAAGTTTATTTTTTCCAAGACGGCAACTTGTTGCCCTCCGAGTATCTCTTACAATACAAAAGGATCCTGCCTCCTTGGGGTTTTTTTTGCAACTAAGAGTAATGAATGAAGCCAGTTTAAAGTCCATGCTGTTACAAAGACTCTGTTTGCTCCAAACCCACTAATTGTCTACATAAGCTTCTTGTTCTGCTGAGTACTTAAAAAACCTCTGGACCTTAAGAGCAGATCCTAGGGGACAGTGAGCACCACGGAAATGAGACATCAGAGCATATGGAGGGCAGAATAGCCCTAACTAGCATTCACCTTTCAAGAGGCTGAATTCTCAGCAGTTCTCGACAGGTTTCCTCAATGTCAACCAAAAATCCTACTTATCTGGTATTTCAGGTTTAAGTACAAGATCATTAATAAATAACTAAGTAATCAGTAAGCTCCTGGGTTATTAATAAACAACACTTCTCCCTTTTGAATTGAGTGGAAACTAACAATACAGTACACATTCACACTAGAGCTGCTTCTGCCATGTTCTTGCCCAACTTGCTCTTGCTTCCTATGATCAGGTAAAGTAAATCAGCTCCTGTCCGTGAAATCCCCACGTCCCAAAATAACCACGATCACTTGATCTTCTGCAGTCCGATGAAGACTGACTCTTCCTCCCTGGTGGTCCCCAGGCAAAACATATCCCGTGCTTTTTACACATGCTTTGCTGACCATACACCTAATTCAGAGTCTTTTTCAAAGGTCAAAGACCACCTACCGCACTCACAACTGAAGAACTTCTGTGTTCATTCATTAGCTGTAATGTTTTCCTGCATTTGCTCCTCAGCTATAACATCTGTGTAAGGGGGGACTGAAAATCTGCCTGCCTTACAATTATGGCACAGCTTCTGCATGGAAGTGCAACACCGAAGACTTCGGTCTGTGCTAGCTCACACCACGCATAATTCACTCACCCTACAACGTGAATGAGTCAGCCCAGCAGCAACGGGAGGATGCATTGCAAAACCACACGGCCAGGCAGCATCCAGCCCTTGCTGATGTCACAGCTTGTCACAGTTAATCCATCCACACACCCAGTCAGTGCGGTACATGCGCAAAAAGCAGGACGGGTGCGAATCTTTGTTGTTTAGGAACGAGCTGGCTTCGAAAATGGAGAATGCATCATCTGTTATTTGCTGGAAATCACTGCCTCTTCTACAGGCCAGCCAGGAGGCTGCGCATTCAGCTGAATCTTCCTATTTTTTTAAAAACATAAAAATAGAATTGACTTTGATTTACGCAGCATCTTAATAAGCTTCTTTCCTCTTTGAAATCAGCATTATTCGAGCTTCACCTTGCAAAGCAACTCACAAAATCCTTGCTGTGATCTGGCTAAAATTCACAGGCACAGAAGTGCGAGCAAACAATGGATGTTTTCAAGCCGATGCTAATCACGGCCTGTCATTTTCCATTTCTTACCCAGCCTGCTTTTGTGAGCATAGTCCTTCTTTCAGCAATGAGCGTGCTGTGTGTGGGGGGAAGAGAGAGAGAGAGGCAGACAAAGCACCAACAGCTTCCTGTGCTGAGGTGAGTTAGCCTCGGAAAATATGGTTAGACTGTTGCATCTCTTCTCCCCCCACACCCTCCTCCTCCTTTAAAACCAAGTCAAGATGTAAAACGGGAAACAGGCTATAGAGGCAATTTATGCAAAAGCATAAGCTATTTTAGTATCTGGCCTCTCTAGACATGTGAGCATGGCCAGTCAGATCAGCTAGGCATGGACAATTCAGAGTGTTGCGAGACCCTGTGATCCCTTGTTGAAATGTTATGTTTGCATTCTTTTGCAAAGGGAACTAATAAATAATGGTAAGATGAATCTAGAAGCAGAAAATGCTTTTTGGTTGCTTCTTCACTATAAATTTAAAGGCTCTGCAAGTGACTTAAAGAAAGGTTCAGTCATGGTCTGTGAGTTGGGCTGCTAGAGGACACCTTTCTGATGAAATCTGATGTATGAAAACGAGCCTGCAGTATAAACTTCGCTACAAGTAAAACATTCATTGTAGTTTTATGCCGTCCTTGATGACAGAACTGCAAACAATGTCATCTATACGCAAAAGTTTTGAATAGAAGGGGCAGGGTAACTAAATCCATAAATAAGACTGAAGGGTGACCTTTCAGATGCACAAGGAAGATAAATTATGACCAAATACTAACACTAGCTTGCTCCAAGCACATAACTCCTTTTGGCACTGCCTGAGAAAGCAGGCAGTGGACTTCTCTTTCCAAGCAGCAGCAGAACTGTTCTCTGTACACACGCAGCATTCTAATTCAAGCACACAGACTACTACTGCACCTTCAGCAGTGAGCCTCCATGGTACATACCTGACTTACTACTTTCATTTCACAGTTCTGTTATAATCACTCCTTCATGTTCACATCTTTGTTAACAGAGACTATCCTTGCTACATTAAATTTGCCTCTGAGATTTACAAATACCAGTAGCAATGTTCATACTCATCATCATGCAGGCTTCGATTCCACAGTTCTGGCTGTTTAGGGATGAAACAACTGGCAGTCTTGTTTATGAGGCAGAAAAGCTCAGACATTTTACAATCAATGTCAGTTGATGGTATGTAAAGTCTTCCTAAATGTAAGATTTATTAGCCAAGCCTCCTTCACTATTTATTTTAATAAAAATCCTTTTTCAAAGGACTTAATTAACAATCATGGACAACTGAGTGTAAGGGCAGTTCCACACACCGCCTGCCCTGATCTCGTCTAACCCACTGGAGCAATTTTTCAGCTACCTGAAGTAAGTATTCAAAATCCATGAAACTTGAAAGATAAGTCAGCACTGCACTCCTGTCTGAGGTCCACATAGTACAAGTTTTATTAAAGCCAAACAGTAGGGATGAGTAAGAAGTCAAAGACTACCAGTAGCTTCTGTAATCTAATAATTTAAAGTTTATGTTTTACCTGTGATTACCCACGACAAGACAAAGATTTCCCCAGTACTACTATTTATTTATGTTATCTCACTGTAAACACCATTGGACTGATAACCAGTTGGGAAGACCCAAACTGTATCATGACACAACTTCTAATCTGCTCTTCTAGAAAGCTGTGCTCCTGAGGTACTGTGCTACTGAGTGCTGAGAGAAAAACTGCTGTGGAACTACTGCAGCTACTCTGTGCCTTCGGTAAGTGCTAATCCATTGGTTCTGTGTTTGTAGAGATGAGGGATGACAGAGGGATGCATAGTGAAGGAGATTTTATTTACTCAGTCTCGAATACATAAATGCGCACTGAACTTTCCAGATCTCAGAGTTTCGCCTGCAGCAGAGACTACTTAAGATTTTTTCATTAAAACAAAAAAACAAAACATGTCTTTCCCTACATATACGTCATATCAAGCTGTACAGGACACTTGCCAGAGCTAGAGAAGGAATGTTGGGTGGAGCGCATATGGGATTTGAAAAGACTGGATGATTACTTTCAGTGTGCCCCGCTTTCTTATTAAATAGCAGCCAAATTAATGCTTTTTAAAAGCACACACCTGGTCACTATGACATCAAGGTACATTACAGACAAATTGAGGTTTGAGGGCATTTTAAATAATGCAGGCAATAGGGTTAAGATTTTGAATTCACGGAATTTATGAACTCCAGACACGTGCACAGAAGGAAGAACAAGGCCATTATATTTGGACTATGCACTTTTGAAGATTTGATGTTACTGGTCGTGGCCCGCAAACAAACAATTTTAACTACAATTTTATGGTTCTAAGATTAACCTTCCCTGTGTGACTAATTTAGCATTTTTTTTAAAGAACATACTTAGGTTACTAGATATGAGTTGTATGTAGTAATGTCATGAATTTTTCTGAAATAATCTAAAATCCTCAATTTCGTCAACAAAGTCAAATACATTTTATCTAACATTTCTTTCATAAATACCTCTGTTTGATTTTGCTTTTAACCTTTTGCAGTTCTTAACCCAGTCAAGATCGTGTGTCTGTTCATAAGGATAGATAGTAAGTCACACAAAGGAAAATCATCTGCAAACTCACAATTACCTGTCACAAGAATGAACAGAAAGTCAGTCTTTGTCCTGTGATCTGCCTACATTTCACAGTCTCTGGTTTACACAGAAGCAACAGATCTTGTGATCTGAATGCGCTGACATGTAGGAATGGAACTCTGACCTCCAGCAGTCCCATCCTATGCACTGAGCAGGACAGTACTTATTACAGCCTGCAAAGGGCATAAATCCCAAGCAAGACTGAAGTTCTCTTCATACACCTTGAAAATGTAAAACCAAAAGCTAATGCCACATGAGGATGCATAAACCAGATCAAATCTCAGACGACAAGCAGCTTCAAAGGTCAGAGATGTGTCAGCCTGAACTCAGCATAATTTTCGGATCAGTGTTAGTTAATTAATAATCTTATGCATTATTTAAACTCAAATCCTCAGCTAGTGCTACATATATATACAAGTTTACAGAGCGATACAAGTGACAACACACTACCAAGCAGCAAGCTCAAGATTCCATAACCACCCATTCTTACCTTGAGGAGTGTTTAGCTAATAATTATCCTTTATGCAAATAGAGCAAGGCCTGACTGAAGACTTTCATTCATTCCAATGCACAAAAACAGAGCTGATACATTCCTGTCAAAAAGCCATCCAGGTAAGAGATTTGTCTCCCTTCCCACACCTCTGAACCCAGGTTTATATGTTCTTTGCCTGTTTTCAAAGGTGTGAAACTGCCTCTCTTCACTTATTTTGCACACTGGTGTTGTTTTTTTGGTCATTACATTCTTGTTCATAAATATTGCTTGTAAGGTAGATACTGGGAAAAGTTTGTAAAATATGCAGTCTGAAAATAGTACGGCAGTTATCTTTCCTGCAACCCTGGTCTAAGAGTTCAAGACCAGTCATTTGTCTCGTTTTTATTTATATTTAAGAGGCTTACTTGTTTCTCAAAAGATTAAAAGTGGGAATTTTCTTAGCGATTAAGTATGAAAGAGGGTTTCCAAAATATTGTCCTTATTGCATGCAGTAAACCTAAGATGCCAGTGAAGGCAACAGGAATAAACATGAGAATGGTGTATCAATTTGGTGTTCTCTACAACACATTAATATGGCTAAACAATGTCCAGTAAAACCACAGGGAACAAAACAGAGCTTAGTGTTTAACTTTGCGAACAATGACCAAGATCTTGAAAAGCCATCTTGAAAGACTTATTTAAAAAAAAACAAAAACAAAAAAACAGACTTTCTCTTTGGAACAGCTGCCTTTCCAAAAGCAAGAAGTCTGATTTTTAGGAATGTTTTTTGATTCCTCAGAAAGTGCCCTTTTAGTGGTCATGTCCTAGGACTCTCCAGAAGAATAATGCTGTCTTGCCCTCAAGTGCATGTCAATATTTTGACCAGCATGTTTTGGAATCCTTGAACAAAACAAGTCTCTGGAGAACCAGTGAAACTACTTGATCATTTATTTGGCAAGGTATGATCATTCCCAAAGATTATCTGATGGGCCAGCCTTAACAACAGGTGCTGGCTGACTGTGTGAGTTCCACTGTAGCCTGATTGTCAGCTGAGGGATTATTACATGTCAGTGGCTGCGATCTTACTGGTACACTGAACTGAGAATCCTTGGGAAAGGAAGAATTGAATCTCAGTTGCTGGTGAATGCAAGCATTTTAAAAAAAAAAAAAGCCTAATTTGCCTGACAAATCCCAGACCAATTTCTAATTGGAAATAAAAGTTAGGAATTGGAGGCTTTTAATTGGAAACACACAAATGTGAAAGATCATTTGACTCTCAGAATAAATCTCCCCTTAGTACAGCAATTTTAATTTGTAGGGTTGTTCTGGTTTTCCTAACTTGTCAAGACCACTAAGCTGTAATGCTTTTTCCTCTTTCACTTTTGGATTAGTATAACAGTGTTTTGTTTTAGCCCTTGATCACTTATAAAACTTAAAGGTTATGCTGACATTTCTAAGGAGTCCTGCAGAACAAAAACAGATTAATAAATCAAAGCAGTAGGTGCTCAAGAAGTATTGCATTATACTATATGCAACTCAGGGGATTTTTTTTTTCAGACTAGTTAGGTCCCACAAGCTAAATGTCCTCCCTACATCTGTTCAAATATGTCCAGAGCACCAATTGCTGGCTCAGGTTTTTATGCCACCATAAAGGATCAGAGTGCACTGGGGCAGAGTTTCCAGGTACCTTCCTCTGAAAAAAAATCTGTTTTGCAGGCACAACACAGCCCTGTATATTGAATCTATGCACCACAAGTGCAGCTAACCAGGGATTTTCTTCAAAGTTTTGTCAACGCTCAAAACTAGAAAAGTAAGGTAATAAAAGCCATTAGGAGACCAAGAAAGGTTTCTTATAGACAGAAGATGTTTCTGATAAGAAAGATGAGTGACATGAACAGTTTAACTCAGCAGCTACAAGTGTTTCCAAGCAAACATTTAAGTAAACTGATGTCTCTTATGTTTTTTCTGTAATTTATGCAACAAAAATACAAATAAACTTCAGCTTATAAATACAAAACCTGCTCTAACCACATTAGTTTGAAGCTAATTTTTCACAGTTCAAACATGAAGGAAACTGTAAGCATCACTTGCGTTAAACTCTTTAAAGGACTTTATCCTAACTAACACTTGAAATCACTGCTTTAGCAAGAGTGAGCAATTCTAGTATAGAGTTGTGATACTGTGTGACTACTGTCCCAAATACAGAATTTAGATCTCCTTAGCATAAAGAGTCAGGCTCATCCTGGCTTAGTTTATTCCCTCTTGGGCTTTCTAGAGGTACAACTTCGGATTTTCTGGTGGACAAACAGGCTGGGGAGACAAAAGGATGCAAAAGAATAAAGTTTTTTGGGGCTGTGCTGTTTCACAAAGAACAACTCTTCCAGTCAGAACAGTTATATATATACCAGCGGAATTTGCTGGCCAAAGAATCTGCAAAGAGAAATCCCACAGAACATACTGTGATGGATGTCTCTTCCTCTGCAGAGAGATTTGGTCAGGTCACTGGCACAGTGAAAAGACAGGCAGAAAGGTGGGACTAAGGCCAGCTGGAAAGCTGGCAGTTTATTTGGGTGGAATTGTTCTTTGCTTTGTTTCTCTTCTTCACAAGATGAACTGGGCCACTGCATTTAACCCGAAAGAATGAGTGGTTAAGACAGTGGTTCTGCTCAATTGTTTTTGCTCATATGGTCAAGGGAAACTTGAAAAAAAAACTTAACTGTGAAGATTCCAAACATCAAAATACAATTAAAAATAACCAATACTATTTTTGTTGTGGCTGTATGGATGTTATACATGTACATGAATGTGCGCACAAGTAAACTTTCACTTGCTTTGAGCAGTCCAGGATGTTCTGAAACCAAAATCACAGGCAATGAGCTGATATGTTCTATGTTTATGCTGCTTCATCTGCACATCCTTGCTAAGAAGAGCTCTTTCAGCAAGCGAGGGAAAGACTTCACTTGAATAAAATGCAAACATCACATTCTGCGAAGCTCTGGAGGGGGAGAGGGAGACTGAAATAGAGGCTGACCCTTTCTTATGAACCACTCAGTACAGTCTAAGCTGAAAATGGGTCAATTTGGTGAACCAGTAAAGGAATCCCCTAGGGTTCCTGCATATCGTTCAGGTATTACCACTTTGGAAGGCTAGTGTTGTATCTCTGCTAAAATCAGAATGCTGGAGTTTACTCAAGTGCGCAGGAGCAGACCGATCTCCTCTCCATCATTCTGTCTTTGGAGATGGCAGAAATACTGGAAGCTCCAAGCTCTGATAAGCTGCACAAATGCACAGGGGACAGTACCCAGCTAAGGTGGAGTCTCATTTCCTTTAGGTGAAGCAACCAAGTTATTACTGAGCTACAGGCATCACAGCCCTGGGTTACACAGCAGGAAGATGTGTTGCTGATAACAGTGTCCTTTCCATAATTTGGTGTGACTTCACTATGTTCTAAAAGCAATGAGGAAACTTCAAATATTAACTGTTTCTGGAAGCCAATCTGGTTTTAGGGCTGAGTGTTTTACAGCTATGGTGTTCATTTGGCATGTAATCTTAAAGTATATGTAGCAGAATAAACAGTTACTTACAGGAAGGAAAGCCTTATTTTCAGGAGAAAAAAGAATTTAAGAAAATGGCCTCTTGTCAGCCTGAAGGCAGAAGATACACATTTTATTGCAGTAGGTTTCGGGTTTGGGTTTTTTCTTTTGGTTAGTGGCGTTTTGCCAAAAGATACTACAAGTAGCAGTATAACTAAGGCAGTATAGCTAAGATATATTCCTAAATTAATCATTCATAAACAACATCTCTTAATAGATTTCCAAAGAAATTATATTCTGATAATCTTATGTATTAAAAAATCACTATCTTCCCTTAGGAAGCTGCAGAAACAACGCATATGTGTGAATTTCAATGGGGTTTTTTTGTAAATATCAAATTACCCCCAGGTAAATCGAATGAGTTCAGAGGGAGGCAGACGGAAACCGTACAATTAAATATGCGAGCCTAGTGTAGAGAAGCTGATGCAATCTTTTTTATGCAGCCTATAAAAAGCACTCATTGGATATTGAACTGCCCACTAGCTTTTAAGTTTGTAGAGCAAGGAAGGGCACAGTACTTATTTCTTGGCTCTCTGACTTCACTTGGCTGTAAGAAGTGAATGGCATTTGAATAAGGACTTGCTGTCCTCACACACAAGCCTCTCATTCTCCAAACTAATTTAGGTAAGACAGGAAGTATTGGGGGTTTTGCATCTTAAAAATTAGTGTCTTTATCACGCTTGCTAGCATTCTGTATTTGGTAAGTTTTATTCATATGCTCCTAAGTTCTTCTTTTGCTGTTGCAATTTCTTTTATCTTTTCTCTCACATTTGCATTCTAACAAAGACTAGATCCAACCTATTTCCTGTCCAGGCAGGACAGGAATATGCTAGGATATGTGATAGCATAACCATGCAGTACATTAGATAGACCCCAATGTAATTCCAAGCAAACTTGGAATTGATAAAAAATAGATTTTGATCTTTATAAATAATTACACTGAATTGTAATTAATGTTCCCTCATGATCGAAATAAACCTTACTTGCAAACGCAAAGAAATGTATACAACGGCAGCTAGAAATGGTTTTATGTAATTGGGACAGACAGAAATCTACTGTTTTTTCAAAACATATCTAAACTACTTTTCAACTTGGACACTCAGTCCATAGGTCTCTAACAAGAGAGTTTTACTGAATTATAAATTTTCTGCCTTTTACTGAATTATAAATCACTTGTCTCTAACACCTAAACATCCTGCTTCAAGTTGTGATTAAATTTTGCATGGCCTCATAAATCACACTGTATCATTTACAATAACACCTGGGAACTTGTTTAAGATTTCTGCACTAGTTATAGATAATTATCTTCCTGTTATTTTTAATTTCTAAGTAGGATAGACAAAAGGCTTTCTAATACACCACTCTCTATTTGGACTGCTCAGGATCAAAATCTTACAAGTTGTTGGCAATCCATTCTTTTGCTAATCAATTATCCTTCCAGTTGGACTCATAAACCCTTTGTTTTTTCTCACCTTTGAATTCTACACTTTACCTGGGTGATACCAAACATTAACAAATCAAAATACTCTTCTTAACAACAACAAAACCATATGAAATTTACACAGAGAATGATGTCTTCTGTCACTAGAGTCTAAACTTACTATTATCTGTAAAAGTCATTAAAATATACCAACAGAGTACCATGCCAGTGAGTGTACTTCAAGTTTTAGGAAACTGATGGATATGGCTTCTGTCTCTAGACACTGAAAGAGAAAAGAAACAGCTTTTCCTTGTAAGCTTTGACATTATTGCAGTGTCACTCCTGGCACCAGAAAAGCTCTGCTGCGGAGATCCTGTCTGTTTAAGACAGTGGGAGAGGCTGGGCGTGGAGAAGGTCTGCTTTTCTAGAGATTCTGGATACTGTTGTACTAGAACATACGATCTGCATCCAGGTCAACGAGCCACTCCTTATCTCACTACTCATACAGGGTCATCCACTCTTGGAAGATGCCTCTTTCTTTCCACTGCAAACCAGAGGATAAGATTTGCCACCTGGCATAGTCTGTTTGACATTTTCCTCCTGTCTGCTCCTATTTTTACTTTTTTATCTGTGCAAGTTAGAGCACTTGCATCTTCTGCCTCTCAGTCATGTCCCCAACCTAGCCCCAAAATTATTTATGATCCACTAAGCTAATTTCAACCTAATTTGACAATTGAGTAAACATGCAGAGGTTGAGTTTAGAGAAAATAGTTCTGTCCATCGAGGCAAGAGACACCAAAAGTACCTCCATCTGGGAAATGCAGATATTCCTAGTCATTGTGTATTAGAAAACTAACATGCAGGAGAACTACAGGAAACACTGCCTTTCTTGCTCTGCTGTACACAGAATTATTTGTTACACCTTATTTCCAGAGAGCAAAACCAGGGTAACTATGTGTTTAAACCTGAAAACACTAACATGCAGCACTCGGTAACACAACAATAACAGATTCCATCATGATGCATGGTCCATATGTTGCCAAAGTGATTTTTGTGAGGAGATGCTGAGTAACAGAAACTGCACTTGGAACCAATCTACAGTTCAACAAGCTGGTGTTAAGTAGCAACTACAAAGAGTCCATCAATGGCTTGCGTACAAATTTTTGCACAAGACTAAACTGTTGCTCTCCCAAAAACTCTGCTTTACAGGTTCTACTGGCAACATTTTTCTCCTGTGCATTGACAACAGCTGCAGTAACAGATCAATAATACCACATGTGAGTTACAAATCAGTGACTATGAGATGCATTCACTATTAGAAAGACTATAACCTACCTCACTAGCACGTTTATTTCACACCATAAAGTGCTACCTCTGTTCACAGAGATCTTTATGATGGAACATTTGAAAGAGATGATGGAAATCTTTGTTAAACTAAGAAATTACTAATTTAAACCCATTTTTTCCTCAGTAAAACAAACTGGATTAAATTGAATGTACTCTTTAATATCTGCAAGAAAGGACTCAATCTGCAGATTTATATCTTAGTGTTATATGCCACTGTAGCCCTATGATAGTGTGCTTCTTGGGATGAGGCTTCCTTAGAAGCAGAGTCAGGTGACAAACTTTTAGCATTAAAGCATCTGTGCTAAAAAAAAACCTTCATGAATTCCAACCTAACAGATGTTTTCTTCACATGGCAGGAACACATAAGTGAAGTAAACTGGGACAATGGAAAGACAACTTGAGGCTACCAGAACGGAAAACAGCACCTCTTCCTTCTTTATCATGGAAAGAAAGACACATGTGAAGATTAAGAGGAAAGAAGTCATGCTAGCTAAGCTGAGAAAGAGCTGCTCCTGTACCCCACAGAAGCTGAAGAACTTTGTTATGGATTTCTTCCCTGTTTTACGATGGCTTCCCAAGTACCGGTGCAAAGAGTACATTTGGGGGGATATTATGTCTGGGTTAGTGATTGGGATCATTTTGGTGCCTCAAGCTATCGCATACTCACTGCTGGCTGGTCTGAAGCCCATTTACAGTCTTTACACATCATTCTTCGCCAACATCATCTATTTCCTAATGGGCACATCCCGTCACGTATCCGTTGGCATTTTCAGCTTGATAAGCTTAATGGTAGGACAAGTTGTGGACCGAGAACTTCTCTTGGCTGGGTTTGACTTGAATGATGATGCCCCACCAGCCTTGGGTGATGGCTCTCAGCAGAATGACAGTCTGTCCAACACAACTGCCTTCAACCTTACAATTGCGGGGATAAATGCTGAGTGCGGGAAAGAATGCTACGCTATCGGCATCGCTACAGCCTTGACATTTGTGGCTGGAGTGTATCAGGTAAGTGGCTGCTGCCATCCAGAGGCAAGGTATGAGGTTCCTAAGGCTTCTTTGTATGACCTAAGCTTTGGCTTGACCCTCTTTCAGTGAGAGATTCAGTACCAGTTCACTTGAATGTAGGTGTGCCTTGGACTGTTTTCTACAGGAAGCCTAACTGTAGGTAACTCAGAGAAAGCATGAGACAGGTATTTTTTCTTAGCTGCTAGCAAGCACAAATAAAACAAGAGTCTTCTGCAAGACCATTAACACTGTTTTGATACTCTACCGCTTCTCGGTCTCGTTGCTTTCATGGGACCAGGTTTCCCACTACAGATCTTACCATGAGGGAAATTCCCAGGTAACTGTGTACTTCAACAATGAGGAAGTAATTCTGTTTCCCTCGATATTTTAATAAAGGCCCAGACATACTCATTCTGCAGGTTCAGACCGTGTGACTCAGTGTTTTGCTAGGGGGTGCTACGTTCTACCAAACTGCTGTCCAAAGATAATTCAAAAGCAGAAAGGACAAGAGGAGAAATAGATTTACTAGCCTGCTTTTCAGACAGTGGCTATGCTGGACTCCTTGAGATTTGCAAACATGCTGCCCACCACAAGGATATCAAGAGAACACAGAAGGAATCATCAGGAACACACTTAACCTATTAATTGTTTATATATATATGAATTAAGAAAGAACTAGCTATCTTCCGGTTTACTAAGATATTTCAGATCACATTTATGAGCAAAAAAATGCCCTTGTGAAGCTGTATTTTCAAAGGCATCTAAGGAAGGAGAAGGAATTAGTTAGGGACAGTATCCTGAGCTATGGGAAAGTCTGTGAGCACTTCTGTCACCTCTGACCTTACGCACACCACAGAGGCTGTCTCTGCTCCACTCTCCCTTCTGTTCACCAGCCTAAAATTAAAAGCTATTTAATACAACACCTAAAGTAGAGATATTACCTCTTGTCATTCAAATTCTGTTTACATTGCAAAGGTTGTACATTTTAACTTTAATCACTTTGAGACAGAAAAAGAGAAAATTGGCTTTGGTATAACAGAAGCATTTTGGATCCACTACTCTTTTGCATGAGAAATAAAATTTAGACAAGCCACTTCAGCAGAGTCACCTCACACCAGTGTTTGATTGACCCTGTCTCAAACTCCTCATTCACCTCTTGGGTTTGTAGGGTCCCACAACAGTAAAGGGAATCACATGTTTCAAAAGCAGACTGGAAACAACAAAGGATAATTCTGTTTTCAGATTGAAATAGCCAAATGCTATCAGCCAAATGCTATCAGCTAGTTCTCTCCCATCTGTGCCTAATTATTTGCGGCAACCATTACAGCTCACGTATTTTTTTTTCTTTTTCTGTGTTTCCTCAGGTTCTAATGGGGATCTTTCGTCTGGGTTTTGTATCTATGTACCTATCTGAGTCGGTACTAGACGGCTTTGCAACCGGTGCTTCCTTAACCATTTTAACAGCTCAAGTGAAATATCTGATTGGAATAAAAATTCCACGCAGCCAAGGGCATGGGATGCTTGTTATTACCTGGATTAACATTTTCCGGAACATTTCTCAGGCCAACCTTTGTGATGTCATCACAAGTGCCATTTGTATCGTGGTGCTGGTCACTGCGAAGGAACTGGGAGATCGGTATAAGCATAAACTGAAATTTCCTCTTCCCACAGAGCTGGTAGTTATTGTTGTGGCAACACTGGTGTCACACTACGGGAAGTTAAATGAAATCTATGCATCCAGTGTCTCTGGAGCCATTCCAACAGGATTTATTCCTCCAGAGGTGCCACAGTTCAACCTAATGCTCCGAGTCGCTGTGGATGCTTTGCCTCTTGCCCTGGTCAGTTTTGTCTTCACTGTATCCCTTTCCGAAATGTTTGCAAAGAAATATGCTTACACCATCCGAGCCAATCAGGAGATGTTCGCTGTGGGGTTCTGCAACATCATTCCTTCTTTCTTCCACTCTTTTGCAACCAGCGCAGCTCTGGCAAAAACCCTCGTCAAAACGTCTACAGGCTGCCAGACTCAAGTCTCTGGAGTAATCAGTGCAATGGTGGTTCTGCTGGTGCTGCTCTTCCTGGCACCTCTCTTCTACTCCTTGCAGAAGTGTGTCCTGGCTTGTATCATTATTGTCAGCCTCCGAGGAGCCCTGAGGAAGTTCAGAGATGTGCCAGCACGGTACCACGTGAATAAGGTGGACACACTTGTTTGGGTCATTACCATGTCTGCCTCTGCCTTGGTCAGCACAGAAATAGGGTTGTTGGTTGGTATTGTTTTCTCTATGTTATGCATTGTTGTTCGGACACAGCGGCCACGGACAGCCCTGCTTGGTCAGATCCCAGACACGGGCTTTTATGAGGATGACTTCGAATATGAAAATCTCTCTACTGTTCCAAAGGTCAAAATATTTCGTTTTGAGGCTCCACTTTACTATGCAAATAAAAACTACTTCCTAAAGTCTCTGTACAGATTGACCAACTTAGATCCTAACCTAGAAGCTGCTAGAAGGAAGAAATATGAGAAGAAGGAAAAGCAGCATCTGCAGAAGGGAAACCACAGAACTGCTAATGGACTGGGCATTGGAGAAACCACTTTGCAACTAGTTCCTAAGCAAATTGATTTTCAAACCCTTGTTGTAGATTGCTCATCCATCTCATTTCTGGACACCACTGGAGTTAATACTCTAAAGGAAATCCTGAAAGACTATAAGAACTTAAACATTTCTGTTCTCCTGGCTTGCTGCAATCCCTCAGTGATAGACTCTCTGAAAAGAGGAGGTTACTTTGGAAGAGATTTTGGAAGCATGCAGGAAATGCTGTTCTACAGTATACATAATGCTGTGCTGTTTGCAAAGGACCAAAAGCTTCCAGCAGACTGCTCAGTTTAACCTTGTGTCTTCCCTGACAATTCACCACAAAAGCAACAGATGCAGTGGGGCAATTTGCAACAGGTAAATTATTAGACACACTCTTGGCTATGTACAAGCCATTCTCCCCTGAAGAGCTCCACTATTTGTCAGATGCCATGTAGAACAGCCACTGAGGATGCAGTCCAGGACAAGCATGGAACAGGTTAGATTATCACCTGCACCTTCACTTCAAAATGTAGGTGATGTGCAGTAAGGCAGTTTGGGATTGGCTTGTCCCTTGTACCATGATCATTTTTGATACAGCATGTATGTCATGAGACTGTTGTGCTCTGCTCATGGTCAGCCCAGTGTCACCTGGATCTCCCAGGGTTAATGACTGGTTTGTGTTAAAAAGAGGGCTAAGCCATTCCCATGAAAGTGCATCAATCCAGCATCCTGGACACATAATGGTTTAAATTCTGGCTTGCAAAGCCCTGCCCCTTCCATCATTCCAGGTGTGCTCCTAAACAACTCCCCCTGTTTGCACACAAATAAAATGTATAAAATATTGTGGAATGTAGCTTGCCTCTCCTCCTCAATTACATAGGCTCAATAACATAACCTGCCAGAGGAGAAGAAATCACGATTCATCACAGGTTCCTCTCAAAAATTCCAAAAATTGCTGCTGGAGTCACCTGTTATATTGGCTTAAATCTGTCATAATTAGTTACTGAAGGCTGTGATATCCCTAATGATGCCAGAAGAAACATGATTGATGCAAGATTTTGTAACTAGTAAGAGAAGATAAACTGGATTAGGAGAAACAAATGGCTTTAACTGCCAGTCACACAACTACCCACGTAGCTGTACCACCATCCTGTAAAAATAAGTTGCCTCTGGTGGGTAGATGCAACTCCAATTCAGGGATACATAAGGATCATCAAACATAAAAACCTCAGAACCATGATGCAGTACATCACCTTCTTCCTACAAATGCCTGCCTGGGTTCAAAGAAAAACAGGAGCAAATAGGGTAGGGTGGGAAGGTAAACCTGTGAGTTGCCTACAAGGGGATTGATAGGTCAGTCAGAACTGCCTGGCTGGTCTTCTCTGATGCAATGCTAACGAAGTATTACAAGTAACATACTTGGGCCAAGTAAAGGGAGCAATGCTTTGTAACTTGTGATCCTCGTACGTTGGAAAAATTCCACCACTGTTTGTACATACTACAGATGCGGTGGGGTTTTGTTTGCTTTGGTTTTCTTTCTCTTATTGTATTAATCTTGGATTTGAGGTCCACTAGACCATGTTTTCCAGGTCTAGTCACTTTCTGTAATAATTTACGTTAACTGCTGTTCATCGTGCTTTATATGTCATATGATATTCCCAGTGTCACTTGTGTTGTTATATATCCATATTCTTTTTTTTTTTACAAATAAGCATAGTTTTGGATTTTGATTGTAACAGAGTTAGTGTTCAGTGTTCTGGCTCATGGCATAGGCAGAATATCCTCTGCTCAAGTTTATAATTAATCACCTGCACAAAAGGTAGCAAAGCTGCTCTGTCTCTCTCATTTATCATGGCTGGTTCATACAGCACCAAGCACAGAAGGAAATTGTATCAGAGCTGTGCCTCGAACAGTTAGCAGACTCTAGAAACAGAGTCCATGCAGAAGCTCTAGAAACAGAGCTTCCATGTAGGCAGAAGCCGTTTCTTTGCTGTGACATTAAAAAAAACCCAAAACAACCAGAAGTCAGGTCAACACAACATGTGACTTGCTTGTTTCAACTTTTTAGGTCTCCGAAAGAAAGAACACTCAAACTGAGGCTCTCCAGGTGCCCCAGGCCCTGTCTGGCTCTCAAGAACAAATATTTTGTTAAAGGAAAAGTAGTGCATTATCAAAAGATAAAAAAGAAATTCCCCCCAAAATAAAACTGCCTTCACAAGGATTGAAAATCGCACAGTATCAGTTGATTCAATACTGACACTTCCACGAACTCGTTATAAAAGTGTATCAGCTGCACACTGTTAATAAGGTCAGAGCAGTAAAACCTGTCAGAAATGTCACAAGATTAAAGAATCGATAATTGGCAGCATTTTCCTGTCACAAACCAATTCCCTTACATTATTATTCGAATAGCTGACTTGGTATGCCTAGCTTTTCTGTTCTAAAAGGAAATGAGCAGAGTCCTAAGAGAAAATATTGCTTTGGGTCTGTGTAACCATTCTTTGATCAGGAAATACCTCTTTTAAGGTCCTGCTTGCAGCAAGCATGAGGAGTTAATACCACACAGACACTCTTAGGCTGCTGTGCCAAAACAAGCTGCCCTTGGAAGTCAAATAAAACATCCTAGCAATCCAGACATTCTTTAGCTTCATGGATCAATCTACCAATCCAGAACATAAAGAAAAAAATGTTAAAAAATACCCTTAACTCAAGATTAATCTCATTTTAAAAGAGGAAAAAAAAAAGGGATTCTAATGGAAGGTGCATCCTTACAACAGTCTCCAGAGAAAAATGAAGAGAGGCTGAGAAAACTGAGAGTCAGAAGTCTCTTTTTCATCATATTTATTGTAGGAATGGTACCAAAGGATACCTAAGCTAAGCAACTTGGCTACACATAAGAGAGAGTAAGCTTCAGGACTTTTACTACAAAGAAACTACTGATCAGAAGAAACCATAAGAACAATTTTCTGGTTTGGTTTTACTGGCAGAACTGGCTCACAATCAGGCTGTGTTGGACAATGTCAAACACAGCAGGGAAACAATTTCAGTGCTGTGCTGCAGGCATGCTGTGAATTATTTCTAAGGAGTATGTAAAAGTTAACTAAAAAAGCAAACCTTTTTCTAGCACATTTATGTTTGCTATACTGTGTTATACCAAGGTTAAGGACATGAAGACTGAAAATTAACAAAAACTGCTGATTCTCTTCTCTCCTCATCTACCAGAGATTAAGTATGGTGACTTGGAGAGGGGATGGGGATGGTCTTGTAATTCCAACTATGTTAATACTAATACTCTTGAAATAAAGATTGTTATATGCCTTTTAGGAAATGTTATATGCTTCATATAGAATGACTGTATTTTTGTTCACTGTGATGCCTTGCGATTTATCATGTATCATGTATGAAACAGATTTTAGTACTGCTACATAAGAATGGAAAAGGTTTCCTAATAATGGACTGTGTGTGTCCCTTGGAGCTGGGCAAAGAGTTGGGAATCTTCAGCTCAAACTGTCCTGTTGACTAGTGCAGCGTGGCAAGAATGTGTGGTTTAGGCGTCAAAATAGTTCTGTTTATTGGCACTGGTAACTAACAACCTGGGAATTGTCCAGTCACCCTTGGGTTCCCCAACAATCATCAATAATTCTATGTCACAAAACCAAGAGACAAACATGTGCTTTTGGCTGGAAAATAAAACTAGCAGTTCTTTGAAAATGGTTTGCCTTGTATCCTTTCACAGGCAGTGAAACAACGAGCTAACTCAGAATAAAGAAAAAGTTAAAGAGGTGGGCTTCCTGTGCTAGAAAATGGTTAAAATAAAGGGATGCACTTGGCTTTGGGGGATTAAAAGACATAATGAGAAAGACCACTAGAGAAGTGAGAAGGGGAAGGTGACAGTCTTTTATTTGAGCACATCTGCTTCCTGGGAGAAACATTTATGAAACCTTTTGATGATGGCACAACTGTGAGGAAAAGCAAAGCCTCTGTCTGTTAGGATTCCACAGAAGTGGTATCTCTTGGTCCTCTGTTTTCTCTAAGTGTTCCTCTTCAGTCAAGTGCCCATTTTCACATTCCATGAAGTCTTCTCTACTCACTGACCCCATAACATAAGACAGTTCTGCTGTGGGAGGTTTCTCACTCAAAACCTCTTTACGTCCTTCTGGAAACCACCGGTTCAAGAAGAAAACTGCACATGCACAAAATTCGGCGTCAGGACTGAACTTCTCCTTCTCAGACTTGCATTCCTGCCTGTTGCTTTTTTCAGTTCCAAGGTTTGTCTGCATGCTCCATGTTATCGCCCTTTCCAAATCACTGCTGACGCTCAGACCACTGGTTGTACTTCCACAACTCAAACGTCTCCTTGTCTTTGACAAATGCACTTTTTTTTTTTTTTTTTTTTTCAAAATGAAGAGTTTTAAGCCTGGTTCTTAAAATGGTAGCAAAGTTTCTAATTACCACATGTAAGGCTGGGCTAAATATCGAGGATAGTGGGTTAGAATCCTACCCTCGAGGCACTACAGCTTTGCTGGGGACTTCCTGATTGACTGCTAAGTTTCCATGCTCCTAGAATATTAATTGTGTCAAGGATTTGAAAGACTCGGTGCCTCAGTCCCTAAAACAGCTCAGCAGAGTCCATGACAGATACATTCCTTTCCCTCATTTGGAAAGCCCAATTCAACACATGGCACAGATAAGATAGGCCATCAGGAGGAATTCTGAGCTCCGACTGTAAATGTGGCTACTTTCTTTTCACAGGTACTCACAGATTTTTCCCAAGTCAGATGGTTACAGAAATCTGAAAGACCCAAGCCATCTCTCAGGAGAAACTTTCTGAGATCTAAGACAAGGACCCCAGAAGTGGTGAGCAGTGGTAGTTGTCCTTGCCACTGGATCACTGCAAGAGTACAAATCACACAGTCCAGTAAGAGAGGGAGACACAGCAGGGGAAAGGGTGGAAACTTCCTGGAAACTTCCACAGGGAAAGATGAGAGCGAAGAGCTCTGTTACATGCTATATTCACAGATGGGCTAACATACAGGGGCCATCCTAGGCTACAGATACAATACTTACCTGTGTGCAGGGCTTCTCATCACCTTCCCAAAAATCTAAAAATGAAAGCACACCCCAGTACCAAGGAAGAAAACTTCTGTCCCTAATGCGCACTTTGAAACATGCTACTCTTTTGCTCATGTGCCATTTCCACAGACTGAGCTCTCCCTCCCCTTGTTGCTTCCCAACAATGATAAATTCCCATCGTCCTGCATCTGGGACAGCACATGCAAAAGTAATGTGGATTGTAAACACGTTCAGCTCAGCAACAGTCTGAGCCAGGCAAAAAACTTTAAGAGCTATTACAATTTTTGATGGGGTTTTATGTTTTGTCTTCCCTCACAGACCAATCACCCCTACTCTAGGTATCTGTATTTGGTTATTTCCACCGGGCACATTGGCATGAGTGCATTTAAACTGAGATGAAATGGGACTTGAAAGGCAACGAATTCCAATGCTGTCCTCCCAAAGTCTGACATGTATTTCCCTAGAACTGGAAATGCTGTTTGTATGTGAGTCCTTTTGGAAGAGGGAATTAACTGGTATTACACCAATTCACCACTTTAGTTGTCACTACCTGTGAGCGCACAGGTGGGTTCAGGATGCAAAAAGTAACTTCCAATTTAGGTAGAAGGAAGACAGAAATTATAGTAAAACAGTGGTAGTTTTCATTTGGACCTCTCAGTAAATCAGGCTTGTATCAATCTTTGTGGGACTTCTTTTGTTGTATCATGTCTCCTAAATTGAAGGACTAAAAAGTAAGCCACCTTTCTAGTCCCTCAGCTTCTCAACAGAAGCTCCTTCTTTCTCAATCTCATAAAACCTCAAAATAATTCCCATCCATTGGAACACAACTGAATTCCAAGGAAGCACAGATATGCCCAGATATTGCAATTAGACAAAGACAAATATCAAAGTGAGCATCCGCTGGGCCTTTAAATGTGTCACGTTTTCCTAGACTTTGACTTGAGATGTTTGCTTACCTAAGAGCAACTAATTCCAGTAACCAGTGAATTCGAACTTGTTCAATGCCACCATGCGGAACAGAGGAAATGTAGGCCAGGTTCAGCTCTTGGTCTTTGCTCAGGTCAAACAGGTCAGCACGGCTGTGAGGTAAAGGAGGGCTTCAGGAGAAGAGGGACAGAAAAGAAACAACACATTGCAACATTAAATAACAGCGCCACCGGGTATGCAAAGATGCCTCCGCTAAGTCCCTGCACCAACTGCGAGATCCCACTCAGCATGAGGAGCACCGTTCAACATGAGGTGAAAGCAAAACGGAGTTGCAGGTTATTTGGGGCTAACTGGCTATACATGGGGTTTGCCAAAGTGGAACACAGCTTGGGGTGTATTTCACTGATACCCTCACAGGAAAGAGTTGCAGGCAGTCATTACTGCACAGACAGCAACCTCAGGCAGCAGTGGCCCTAGGAAACCATACAGGGGCATTCGCCCTGTTTCTGAGTAACTAATGGTAAAGGAGCTCAGCGTCTCTTAGGGTTGGGAATGGAAGTCAGATTTGCTGAGGTCTGTAGTATGGAAAATATGGGCTTGACCTTCCTGATGAAGTTCATGCAATGACATCAATTTGTGCTCTGCTGTGGAAGCTACACTTGTTAGAAGCAGAATTAGACACTCAGAGCCTTCACATTCTTCAGCCATGTTCAGCTCAGCCCTAAGCGTAAGGAAGCACAGGGATATGTGGCTTGAGGTTCCCATGCTTGGCACTGCAAGCAGTTTAACAGGCTCACAGCTATACAGCCACAATGTAATGTGACTTTGGTGTCTACTTATTCCATTGAAATCAACGCCACACTGCAGCAAATTTCTGTTGTCCCTATCTCCACCGCTACACAGTTGCAAGATGGAGTCCTCAACCCCGCCCTCCACAAGTCAGAAACTCAGAATGTTCTAGGTTTGGGCATCCTCGGGGACTTTCATTAAGCCTCCTGGGAATGTGTACATTCTGAGTGGTTAAGCATTTGTATTACAGGAAGGATAAAACAGCACTGCCCCTAAGGCTTGCTAAAATACTTCCACATGTTTTCACACCGCAGTAAGAGATCACTTGTGCTCTAATTGCACACTGTATACTATCTGTTTAAGTCAAAAACCAGTCTAGTTTATGCTTTTCTGTCTCCTATAA